TTCTCATGGCGCATAGTCTTCAACAGCGAGGCTTCAAGCGATTGCGAAGATGCCATCAACTGTTGCGCCACTTCCTTCTGATGCTCATCAAAGCGCAGGCCAATGGAGTGCAAGCGATTCTGCGTATCATGTGCTTGCTGCCTCAGGTTTGTGTCCAGCTGAGTGATCTGCTTTTGGGTCTCACTCTGGAAAGCTGTAGTCGAAGTCTCAATGGAAGCAATCCTCGCCTCCAAGGCAGTGAGCTTGCCCGTTTGCTCCTGGAACTTGGATTCCGTAGGCCCAACAACCGAACGAGGAGCTGTTGGCACAACAGGACGACCATGTGAAGCCAAGTATTGCGCCCAAGGGTCAGCTCCCTGCGAGGGTGTGGAACTCACAACCGGGCCCGACCAGCTGAGCATTGCATCCCCTGCAATGATTGGTGACTTGCGCTCCTCAGTCTTCGGTGGCAATGGACGTGCTAGCACTGGAGCTGCATTGAACAAGAGGATGCCGCTGGGGATATCTTCTGTTGTAGCTATCAGCCATGCTCGGGCTCCGACTTGTCGAATTGGCCGGATGCTCCATTTATACGTGAGGGCCTGCACTGGGTCAACTGCTCCTTCGACGTGCCGAAGGGGAGGGGCTGCACCTTGACCAAAGTCGCACCGCTCAGGTCTGGCGGCGCTTCCTTTGTGGGGCAAATGATCCGCCAAGCAGCCAAGAAATCCTCCTGTTTGAACCTCAATCCCAATCCCTCTCGGCCTTTCACCAGGCCTAAGCGTCCAGCAGTCTGCTTGGAGAGCGATGTCAGGCGGGGGATGTCCCCCTCAGTCCAAATCACACGGTAGCTCTGGTCTCCAAGCCCTTGGGCGTGCAGAAAATTCTATTGAACCCGCTAGCTTGGAGCACTCTGGGGATGTTCTCCGGGGCAACGCTTCCGTGCAGCTGTACCGAGGTCGCTTGTGCAGCATGAACTGGTTTGTTGCGGTTTCTCAGGGACCTCCCCCAAGTGGACTTGATGAGCTCAGGACATCCACTCTCAGCGAAGATTGCTCCAATGAATGGTGTAGTAGATTCAAAGATTCTCGTCTTCCAGAGTGTGAAGGCAATGCTACCACAAGCTGGGTCACTCAATCGGTGCGCCCCCTCCATACATTTGAGCTGTTTCTCCCCGAATTGAATGAGGATGCCCGCCAGGATGATGGGATCAGCCCCTGGGATATCACATGGCAAGGTGACCCGTTGATGCTTGAGAGATGTGTCGATCTGCTTCTGTGTCACCGCAATGATGCCAAGTTCATCCTTGGACAGAATGGAGTTCTCCTGATCCAAGGCAGGGCCTGCTCCAAATGGGCCAGGAAAACACCTGAGGACTGAGGCGCAAAGGTCGTCAACTGAAGGGCATTGGAGTCGTCCTCATTGAGAAGGAAGCCCTGCATGATGGTGACCGTGGAGAGGTTGATCTCGGGTGGCTTCCTTTTGGCGACCTGAATCTCCCTGGATGAGCTCTGGCTATCCAACGCACCAGACCGCTTTCTTGGCATCTCCAACCCGATTTGCTTCGTTCATCAGGGCAGCAACAGCAGCATGGCCCAAGTGATTGAAGAGACTATCAACTGCCTTGGAGATCCAATTGAGGTCATACTGCAAGTCAAGCAGGGTGCCAGCCACTTCGTTCTTCAGGGAAATGACCTGTGGGTTGCGGCCACCACCACCCCCGCCCTGAATACGAGTCACCATGTGGAGAACGTATGCCTTTCCTTGCTGAGTCAAGGAAGTGAGGTAGCCCAATTGCTGTTCAGGAGAGAGTCGTGTAGCTGAGGATCCATGGATCAACCGAATCTCCTCGCCACGAATCACCGGCATCCAATTCTGCTGCAGCAAAGCAATGATCTTTGCAATTTCAACCTCAGGAGAAAGATGCCCCTCCCAGATCAATCGCTTGCACCATTTGAAAGCAACGAAGATGCCCGAGGGAATCCTCAAGCAGTCCAAGGTGCTGCGAACAGCTCGTACTGCCCACCACAGCTGAAATGCCCCCGGAGGAATGGCCGTGAACAGACCGATCTTGGCATCAACCTGAAAGGTATTCTGCGTGAGATCACTGGAAACCTCCAAATGAAAAGAGGCTCGGCCCTCATTCGTGAGAGAGGACTCCCAAGTCGTTGCCCATAGTTGGCATCCCGCCATGCTGCCTGTGCCTGCAATGGAATGCACATCACGCCGATGGTCCCAATGACTTTGCCCAGTTGCTTCCAAGAGTTCCTCAAGGATCTGCGTGGAGGACAGCGAAAGCTTGGTGTGGGTCCAGCTATGCAAGCTTAGGAACATGCCCGGTACCACGTTGGCGCGCAGAGGGACTAAATCAAATTGATCGTGCCATAAGATGTCTGCTTCCTCAACGTTGAGCAGGCTCTGCACCATTTCACGGTGATGAATGTAGCGGAAATCAAAGATGTCCTGTTGTAGGACTGGAACACAAATGCCAGCTTCATCCTCTTCCCATTCACCTGCTAGATTGGCCACGGGAAAGAGCCGGTCTTGATCATCAAACTCCCAAGCATCAGATTCAAGTCTCAAGGCTCCCCTCCATAATGCCAATACCGCTTTCACAGGAGTGGCACGCTCAACCATGAACTGCTGGGGCTGCCCAGGGAAAATGATCCTGCGCCTGTACATAAGCCGAACAGGAGCTGTAGCCTCCAGATGGTCTCGCTGTGATGCCAGAATGGAAATTGGATTCCACTGTCGGAGCCCATGAAGTCCAAGACAATCTCCCCTTTTCTCAATGTAGGAGCTGAGCTTGAGGATCCCCAGCTCTGGCGTCCAAAGATGATCACGAGGAAGTTGAGTCAAATCTTCCTGAAATAAGTGCTGAATTCTCATGCAGGAGGAAACGTGTATGCCACATGGATCCTGAAGGGAAGATCTCTTGATGCAGCTCTGAGGCACGAAGACGATGTTGATCAAAGTAGTCCAACAGTTCCGGCCAATTCAACTGCAGGTTGCGTTCTTTCAACATGTTCAAGCCCTGAATCAACACCCACAGGGCATGTGGAATTGCAATCTGGTTGCCCAATCCCTTCCAGTTCTGCTCAAACTGATGATCTGTCCAAAAACCGCTCCAGGCTCCATGCATGAGTGCGATCTCCACGGGGTGCCAAAATCGATACGTGTCATCATCAACAGTCTGGAGCCAATGAGCAAAATAGCCTCTCTGCTCCAGAAGCTCTTGGCGAAGCCGATGCTGATTGCCATATTGGGCCATGAATGTGGGCACACACGAGTCCGTGGATCGAAAGGTGTGTGAAGCCACTGCCTCCTCTACAGAGTGTGTTCTGCGGGCTTTCGCTGGACGGTCCAAAGGTAGGGACTGAGCATGTTGCACCGCCTCATCAGGCACCTTAAGACGCATTAGAATGTCAGGAGGCCAAGCACGGATGCAGTCAAATTCCAGCAAGGTATTGACTCTCTGAGTGGACCACGAGGACAAAGCTGGAAAGTGACAATCTGGTTCATGAATGAAGTATGCAACTCCCAGCCAACGGGCTCTCTTGACCGGCATGATATCACTCAACTCAATGACATGGCCAAATCGGAGTTGATAGCCTGCAAACCAAAGTGCTTTCTCAATCCAGACTCGATGAGGATGAGAGTGAAAAGCCGCCACCTGCTCGATCAAAATGATCTTGGGCCTGAGGATCTTGCAAACCCCAATGGCCCTCATGAACAGTTGACCTTCAGCCGAGTGCAGGCCCATTTGCCCAGCAGCGCCACTCCATGGAGGGCAGGGAGCCGAAATTGTAATCACTTCAACATTCCAGCACGCTGCAGCTTGTAACCAATTGTCATCAAAGACATCACCATGGATGCAGAAACCTTCAGGAAAGGATAGCAATGAAAGAGGAGGAAGTTCCTGTGTTGCAGACAAGAGCGGACACCTGTGAGACAAGGCGTACTGCCGAGCCGCAGTGAAATCCACCTCAATGCAACCTGAGATGATCGGGACATCTTTTTCTGCCAAAAGCTGACAAGCATAGCTCCATCCACCCCAAGCACCACCAAAGAAGTGCAGGACAGGAATGATGCCAGAGGCGCGCTTGCTCAAGGGCAATACCAAGGTGTCATCATCGATCGACAGGTATCCTTTGTGTTCAGGACCTGGATAGTTCAGGGCGGCATTCCATATGAGGCATTTGCCTTGCAGACCACGGATACACATGTCATGGAGCACCGACTTGCCTGTAGCCTTCCAATCCATGGTGATGGTTTGAGGCATATCACGATCCTCCCCAATCCAAACACTATCCATATCCAGCTGCCGCAGGCCACGACCACAAGCAATCAAATGCCCAGCTTCAAACAGAAAGGGATTGTCTCCAGCTTTGATGGCCATATCCTGAACCAGCAGTGAGGGTCTTTCGACCAGATCTCCTCCATCGTCGCCCCAAAGCTGGAAATCACGAAGGATCTCCCGAGCCGCACCTGGAGGCAACCGAGTCGCCCTTGCAGCACCAGGTGGATCCAAGTCCATGGCACCAGAAAAAGTGACAGGGCCCAGTTGGCACCCCAGTCCAGGGTGAAGCCCCACCACCGCCGAGACGCGCGCGCGTCGGGAGGCCTGGGCCTGAGTGGCTACTAGCGATGGCCTCCAACCTACGAGTGATGGCCTCCAACCTAGTTATATAAGTGGTTTCTTCAAATCCGTTCAAGTCTTTTTGCTGGAGATCATGTTGTTGTGCAAGTCTCACAAACACTGAGAGCATCTAAATTGAGTGTATACCTACCATCATGAAACATTTGTATGTATACTATTAGACAGAGGTACTGTTTGATCTAGATTGAGATAAGTCTGCTTGTGTTTACCTTGTGAAGACCTTTTTCAATGTGTTTAATACAACAATTATAGCCCATTATAAAATATAATGTATTTGTTTGTTTCTCAAATGATAACTGCAGGAACACTAGTTTTCACGTGCCTTGTGTTAGCCGTTTAGTAGCATCAGATAGCTGAACAGGAACAGGTCCTCATGTGCTTTGGCAAGCGCGTGGCTTCTCAGCTACATCGAAGAGAAGGTGAGGGATGATAAGTTGTTTGTCAATTTAATTTTCTCAGGCCTCCAGCGGTGTTGGGGTGTTCAATGTTTATATATGCGCAGAAAGTGTTGGACAAAGCAACATACAGTAAATCTAGAACCCTGCACACTGGGAAATGTTGCTGCTCCCCTGTGAGGCGGCCAGCATTTGATGACTGATCAGAACGCGATTGGTTGTCATGGTTCCATGGACAAACAGACTTAAAAATAGCATTTGTGAAGCAAGCAGCCAGCTTGCGAAGCTTGCACAACAAACCTACTACTCGTACGACTGATTCATGATTTCAAGGAATGCCCCCGCACGTAGACGTTCAATGACTTTCAGCCATTTCGAGCTGTCAGTGACTTCCACACTTCACCCTTGTCGCGTCATGTTGTATAAATATATTGATCGATTGCTGTCCTTGCCTTCCCTCCAAGGTTTCTGGAACATGGGCCAGGCTGCGCTGATGCTGGATCGCATTGTAAAGCTTTGGCGTCCACCGACTTGCCAGCTTGCAAGCATGGAGCTTGAAATGAAGGCTGGCAGGGGTTGACTGAGATAAGATAAAGACTTGCTTCATACCAATTGAATACTGTCAAATTGTGAAAATACAAATAATACAATGCGAAAGGCTAACGTCCTTACTTTGGCCCTGACCCAGGTGAAGATCATGGAATTGATTGCAAGCATGAACTCCCGCCTCTTTGATGCTCTTCCTGCGTTATTGACTGAGGAAATCTCAGCAAGCCCAGACTTCGATGGCAAAGCATTGGAAGCATCGTCACTGGGCGTGAGTCTCGTCCGTGGCATGTGGCAAACCATTACAAGCAGCTTTTCGGCCTTGAAGGGTCAATACACTCGCTTGGGCCAGCTTCTTGGTACCTGGGCCAAATGCACAACTCTTATTTACAAACTGCTTTTTTGGCCAGTAGCAGCTACTTGCTGTAGTACTAGTAGCATCTAGTAATCTAGTAGCCTATACTATTGAGTAAGCATAGTAAGCGGCCACTTGTGGCTGGGAGTCTCCGGCTTGTTTTGGTTCCTACATTGTTTGGGAAACTTAAATGTTGAGTGTTTCAGCTGTCGACCAGCCGAACCAGGATGCTCTTGATTCTTCGTTTGCAATCGAGGCAACACTGTGGTGAAATGGACAGTTTGTCCATTGAAAAACATTTCCGAAGCACAAGAGCTTGACAAGTTAGACTCCGCATTGGGCACAGAAGATGACCTTGCTCGCTATTACGCAGAGATTGCATATGCGAAATGGACAGGGAAGACTAATCTTCTGCCTGGAGAAGAGTGTATAGATGAAGAGTCGTTGCGAAGTTCCATGGCGCACTGTAGGGTTTGTACGCTAGGCACTTTGCAGCAAGACATGCCAGAGCCATACAAGGACGAGAAGTTCATTTGCCCCGTGAGGCCTTTTCTTCCCGCAAAACAGCAGCTTGAAATCTTTGAAAAGAAGAATGGCTGGTGTCCGCTGCGAATGAACTCCAAGCAGATGGAAGCAGCCAAATGGTTCTATCGTGGTCGCACACCTCAGAAGACTCAACACGACATGATGGAGAACAAGCCGCAGGGGGACTTCCAAGCAATCAAGCTGGTTGATTTTAAGAGTAGCCTGGATGGACTTTCAGTATGTTGCCTAATGTTGCGCATTGGTGGTCATTGGTGCAAAAGTGTTTGCAGGAGGTCAACTTGGACCAAGCTGCCTCACAGGCTGTAACCAACCATAGCGAGAGAAAGAGAGAGACAGCGGAGGAATTGGCTCCAGTTGAAAATTGCAAAGGAATTGTTGCATGCCATGCAGGATGCATCGTTATCTTTGTTTTGTAGCTCAGGTCGACAAGACTCGGACTTTCATATGTGGCGCAGCTTTGCGACTGTTTCTCTCCAATGTACCAGAGAAGAGAGTGAGGAGACTCCAAGGTGGTGCAAAGATCCCGAGGCGCAAACTGTGTGTCATGCCGTCATGCTACTTGTACCAGTGATATTCCGTCAATTATTCAATACTATGCACTAATCGGCACTAATATGCACTATGTATACTGTATACATATGTATACTGTAGTTGAGATATTCAGGACGTTTCTCAGGTGGATGACATGTATATTGTGTTTTGGATTACCTCAGAAACTGAGAAACTTCACTTGCAGTGTTTGAAGTCGCAAATGTTACGGTCTATATCTCAATCAACCATAGATCAGGCTATATCAGCCTATATCAGGCTACTTATACGCAAGCCTTGTTTACAACAATTTGTTCGAATGCATTTCTACAGCATTCTCTAGAAGTCCATTGAGCCCCTTTGAGGTCCACTACTCTTCTGGCTCTGTGAATTCTTTTGTGGACTCGATGGGTCGTGTAGGGCGCGGTGCACGACGCCTGGTGATGCGTGGAATGCACAAGGACTGGAAAAGATTGACATCAACGAGAGAGAGAGAGAGAGAGAATGATAAGTCCTGACATGTTTTGGTCATTAGAGTCATCAGATGCTGCACGGTGTGTGAAAGGACTGGAATTGTCATTCACAAAAACTTTACGAGAAGGCTTGCAAAACTCTTATCCACATGTTGGGACCAAAGTAGTCAAGTATTTAATTACATTTAAATATTCAAAAATCACTAAATTTATATACTTCGGGTTGATCCTTCACAGGCGATGCCATTTGGTTGTCGTATTGACCCGTTCACGGCGTCATGCTCAACGACTATGTTTAGTTTGGTGCATGTAGATGCTGCTGCTATCAATAATGATGTCAGCAAAAGTTAACGAAATATGTTTGCGACCCTACTTGCCTTCCCTCTCAGCTTATTGCATTCTTGTTGATTTGTGCTGTCACTGCGTTAGTATTCCAAGAGGGCTTGAGAACTGAGAACGTTTGTGAATCATGAACATAAAGACAAGAACTCAACCAAGCAACAGACATGTTGGGGAATAGTCAGTTCTTCGTTGCACCATGTTGCTTTCTTTGAATTGCAGGCGGGAATGGCAGAGGAGCCCAAAACAAACAATGCACCAGGGAAGGCTTTCACGCAATGGCTTTACCAGCGCGGGAAGCACGCTGAAGCCTGGCTCAAGGCCAGGCCGGGAGGAGTCAAGAAAAGACCATAAAAGACCCTTAAGGCCTTAGGATCAATCATAATCAAACAAAGTGAATAGACATTGAACATGTGCTTTCACCATTCTTGAATGAAGTCTAGTTTCCTTTCCGTCATTGTTACTTCATCTTACTTCGTTCAAAACTGTGACCACCTCTTTGGTCATCCCAGGGCACTAGCAGCGAATGGTTTGGTAAAGCAGCAGACCGCTATGAGAAACTGCGTACGAAATCCTTTCACACTTCAGAAGCTGCTGAGCTGCTCCACAGTATGTCATTTCAAAGGGAATTGGAGAGCACAGGAGCAGATTCAAAGCAGAAGCAACGATACGAACGCTTCGCCGTTATTGCGCCGTGCAAAAGCATGGACCCAGAGACTGAGTTCGATCTGAAATACGAAAGCGCAGAGGATGCACTTCAGTTGGCAAGAAAGGTGCACCAAAAGTTTGATGCTTCCATTTTCAAGTCCAAAGCCTTTGCAGTGCAGCTCATGGGTGCATCAATTCTGAAGATGAATGGCGATCAATCAGCTTGGGAAGCTTTGCTGAACACTAAAGCTGTGCCTTTGGTTGCCGGGTGTATACTTCGGAAGGAACCTGTTGGATATATTTGAACACTATATAGTCACTAGTATAGCTGGTTGCAAGAGACTGAACGCCTTAGCTGCTAGTTTGCCGCAGCTAGTCTCTTCTTTTTGGCCAGATCTCATTGCTTTGTCGCCCTTTGCTCCATCTCATTAGGGTGTGGGCAACACTTCCTTCTTTGATAAACAACAACAACTACTACAACAACACTTTTGTAGCTTACAAGGAGCTGCTCCAGTACACCCTTGCCTGAGCGGGGTGAGGCTTCCTGCTTCAAGAACGCTTTGCATGGCTGATTTGGTTCCTAGGCTCTTAGGGAAACTTGACTTTGCTTCCTTTGTTTGTTCCTCCTTACCTTCCTTGTAAAGCACTTCTTTTGCTGTTTGGTCTGAATGTGTTTCAGTACAAATTACAAATCAATGCGGAACTTGTGTGGAGCGTCCTAGCTGCAGCCGAGAGATGCAGCATGTCCTTCCAACCTGCCTATTGATCAAAGTGATCAAAGGGGAAACCACGGCTTTCTTTGGATTCGCATAACTGTGACAAGTTGGAGTGTTACCCATGGACCCATGGATTTGCATTTCGAGGTGGAATTCCGCACATTGGTCAGGGCTTTCTCTCCGAACTGCTTTGGCAAGGAATGCTCAAACGACTGGGTTGTGACCAAGAATGCAATGATTGGAGAATTAGCTGGCAGCATCTCTGCACATGGAGGAGAATCTGTACGCTCTTCTGACCTCACTGGTTTCGAGGCTGCTCGGAGTTGCATTGTGAACGCTAGATGGGACTGGCGGACATAGGCTACAGGAACAAGAAGCTAGTAGTAACAAGTGCCTTACTAGTAGTAACAAGAAGCTAGTAGAAACAAGTGCATCGCTTCCAATAACAAGTGCCACGCTAGTAGTAACAAGAAGCTAGAAGTTGTTTCTTTGAGATGCTGTAACTGTAGCCACCTCTGTGTGATTCTGACAAAGTCCGTGGGCGTGGATGCTGTTAATGCTGTTAGGCGACTTTCAACTGTGGTACGCGACCGGAAATGCATGACCTCCCTCGTGAGCGCCTTGGGAAAGCCGAGCCGCCCGTGGTTTCCCAGAGCTTTGTGGAATGTGTGACGCACGGCGCCGTCAAAAATAAGGAACGCCGGAGTGTGTGTGCTCATGTGTGCTCCAGGAGTTTAATCCGTTTAATCAATTCTCTCAGATATTGTGTCCTGGAGGAGCTTCGGAACACTGCACCTGAAGCACCATACCTGAGAGAAGAGACGGTTGTGAGAATCACATTTCATAGCTTAGAAGACTGTCGATTGCATTTGAGCACAGCGAGAAACAGCAACGAGACCGAGAATCCTGTCTATCGGACCTTCTCTAGCATTTCAGGATGCCCAGGCATAGCGGAAGCGGACTTTCCTAAGATCCTGAAAAGAGACATCGAGGAAAGTAGGTTTAGAGGCTTGCTGCTTGGAAGTGGCTTGCCCGATGAGACTCTTTTTGAGGTGCTTGTAGATCCAGAAGACTTTCTGAAAGAGGTGCCTCTCTAGGAAGACTGTGCACTAGCTGGACATATGCCAGACGAAAAAGAGCTGCCTCTCTTCTCGAGGTCTTGCGAGTGTTGCTGCGAACAGCTGCTGGATGATCTGAGATATGCTGAGATAAGCAGAAAGCGAATCGTGGCATGTCATGGAATCTGTCATTGCTGGGCCCTCAATAAACTTGAAGCAGTTGGGCCAATGCACCTGTTTATATATATATAGTTGTATTTATATAATTGTTTTAAAGCTTGCACTCATTTCGATGTGACATTTTCGACCTTTCGCAGCTTTCCTCAGCTAGAACGAATGGAACTCGATCAGTAGAGCGGTATGACAGTATGTATCCACCACTATTCTCCCTGCTCGAACGACAATCGGTTGTGTTGCTTGGGCCATTTCGAGTCGATACATTCGATTCCACATGTGTATGTATGGTTGTGGGTGACCAAGCTATTGCTGCTGAATGATAATTTGGCCTTGGCTGCTTGCCCTCCCTGGTCATGCAAAGGACTTCTTGTGGTTGAGCCAAGGGCGAGCTCCTTGGCGCATGTCTTTCCAGATGTTGAGATTTCGTGTCACAGGCATCGCTATTAGGTTGAAGGCCATCGCTATTAGGTTGGAAGCCATCGCTACTAGGGTGGAGGCCATCGCTATTAGGGTGGAGGGAATAGCTAGTAGGTTGGAGGCCATGAGCATTAACATTTTCGCAAGTTATGAGTCGGATGTATTGCATTTATGTACTGTACGTGGGAGGGACATGGGGGGACATGTAAAACCCGGTAAACCTACGTATATGATTGCACAACAGACATTTCACGTGCTTTGGTAAAATAAAAACGACTTTACTGTTTTTTGTTGTTGAAACAATATCTAATAGCATTTCATGTTTGGCTCGCGAAGCTGTGTCCCACTCCGTCCCGCGTATGCCTCAAGCAGTGAAAATGCCCAGCGCACACATCACAACATGGTGAAGTTGCTGCTGCTATGATTTTCATGAATGAATGGATCACATTTTGATGACACATGAGAGAGTACGAAGACCAACAGCCTTGTTGAGCCCTGGACTTTCATTGATGTGATGCCTTGCAAGGACAGTCTTGCCAAGTGGCTTTATGACCTTTCGGAGCAACCCAACAGTTATGTGCTTATGGGTCTTTGGGGGCCCTGTATTATGCCTGACATCTCCGAAAAGCGGCGCCTTGTTCGCGCCTCAAAGCTTCAGCCAGTGGCCGATTAAAGCATATTCAATCACCCAGGAACAGGGAAGAATAATACTTCTGCCGATTTACTTCAGCATCTCATTCAAGACTGTTCTGCTTGCATACTTTGGCATACTTTGACTGTCTTTGTGTCTTTGTGCATGGAATTGGATCTTACAACATGAACTGGAATTCTTCACAGTAGCTGCGCTTCACAGGTCTGTATCGAGAGGAACGTTGATGTTGTAAAAGGCCGTAGTCAAATTTTCCCACATGGTGATGAATGGGAGAGGCAGCGAGGAACCAGGCGGGGTCACGATGGTGTTTGCAAAGGAGGCTTTCCAACACTTTTCCCAAGGATTAAAGTACCTTTCCCCAATCCGACAACCTTCTACGGAATGAATATGAAAAGATGAAACCTGAAACCTCCGCCCCGCTAGTGATAGAGATTTTGGAGTCCCCGTGTTCCAAGGTGACCAGTATTACCATCGGAAAAAATAGGCTGCTCCCTCCCTTTACTTTTCAGTGATTTTACCTTGGCGCTGCTGCTTGGGTGCGTATCCCTTTCGGTCCGCCTTGCTCTTCTTCTGGGTGCTTCCTTGTCTTCACTTCCGCTAGTGTTTCTCACAGCCATGAATTTTTCACTTGTTATGTGCCACTTGTGCATTGGCTGCATTGGTAACTAACCTCTCCAATCTACCAAAGTGTTGCTTCGAAACGTTCCTGCTGAATAATTGAATATACAATTATTCCTTCTGGTTTGGTACAGTTGGAACCACGTGCCATCCCTTTGGTCCTTGTAATGTTTTGGAACCGTGTAGCATTCCTTCCATTGCTCCTTGTTTGGTGCACCTTTGGATTTAGTTCGGCACACAGTCTTAGGCAAGGAAGGTTGGTGTGGTTGCCAACTGCACACCGCCGCGCGGTTGCCCGATAGTGTGTAGACCCCGACATATATGGACAAAATTCAGATTGATGAAAGATGTGGCTTGTTTGCAGTGTGTGGTAGTTTGTGGGAAACACTTGTCTGCCGACCTGCATTGCACCAATATATAAAGAGCTGGTAATTAGAAGAGGGGAGAAGATGCAGAAAAGAGAAGAAAGCTGAAGGAAGAACAACGTGACATGTCGATAGTGCATGAAAAACAAACATGAGAACTGAATTAACCCTGACAATCAGTGAAAGATCTAGTAGCCCTACAGGATAAAATCAGTTGTTCGAGAATTGAGTCAGAAATCAGACGACCTGTCAAAATCACCTCAAATGGCCCTGTGCAAACGGAAAAGCAAAAAGTTAGAAACAGTAGGGTTTACACCATCGCGTGAAATCTGCAGGTACACACGGGTGATCAATCCGTGCATCCCACTCCAAGGCATAGCTTCGTTGCAGCAACACTGAGTTTGCTAAGGAGCGCCGCTTAAAAGTTAATTATATGTAAACGACCGAAAGCTTCTTGTGTGAAAATCATAAGAAGCAGGGCTTTCTTTAAAAAGAAAAAACATCCAACTTTTTTGGGGCCTCAGATCTCTCCCTGGAACTAAGATGGAAGTCGAGAACCCCGTGCTTGTGATTCGGATTTGAGGGTCTTCCAAGGGGCCATGCCATCCACTTCCATGTTAGTTCCAAGTTTGGGGCGACTCCATGTGGGAGGGTGTTGTACAAGAGGGCAGACGCCCTACAAGATTTGTTTGAACTGTCCGAATAACGAGAGTTAGAGCGTGAGTGCACCCTTGCAAGACGTCATGCCTGTTTCGTTGACACGTGCTTTTTCGTGGCTCTTGGGAAAGTTCAAAAAAATCCTCCGGACACACACACACAAACAAAGTCGGGGGCCTGATAGAAAGGATGTCTTTCAGTAGGCTCAGCATGTCAAAACTAGAAGGGGTCGCCCGCCAACCTAGATCAAAAGCAAGAACCATTCATGGCCACATCATATCACCCTTTGGGCCATGGAGGTTTTGGGCTTAGCCTCCTGCCATTTGCCATAAAATGGCTCAAGGGACGTGGAAAAGTTAAAGGTCAATACTGTGTCCAATGGCAGTTTAAACACACTCTGACATTGGTTTGCAGTTAACTCAGTTCCCACGTTGAGAA